GCACACTTTCCTTCTGGCCTCGTTGCGGGGAGCAGGGGACAGCAGGTCTGGCCATGGCCAGCATGGTGGCTCCTCCCCAGTGATCTTTGACCTCACAATGTCTCTGTTTCCAGCCCTGCCGGGACACAGCTGAATTGTAAGGTGGACGGATACGGAACGGCCCAGCCTGTCCTGCCCTGTGAGCTGGGTGAGCCGGCACCGGAAGGTGAGAATGGACATGAATGGCAGCAGTCGCTGGTCAGCAGGTGCGTCCTGGGGACACAGGGGCTGCCAGGCTGCCGCGCAGTCCTGAGGGGGTGGGGCCCCTAGGCCTTCCGGGACGATCAGAGTGTGGGGCCCTGCGCAGCCTCTAGGTGGCAACATGTAGCCTGCATAGCAAGCACTACGGCCAGGCTTCTGCCCCTGCCCTGGAAGGCCCAGGACACCCACAGTGTGGAGAGAGGATGGGCATAGCGCAGGGACAGCCAGCCTGTGGGCGGGAAAGCGGCCTTCAGAGGGAGCCAAGATGAAAACAAAAGAGTAAGAAAGGAAGAGGAAGAACGAGAAAGACACAGAAATGTGGAACATAAATTGGAAAGAACAGAAACTGAGGCCAAGAGATCCCAAAATAGATCTGATCATAAAGAGAGGGAGACTGAGACAAGACACAGAGAGAGGCCGGGCGCAGTGGCTCACACCCGTAATCCTAACATTCTGGGAAGCAGAGGCGGGAGGATCGCTTGAGTTCAGGAGTTCGAGACCCATGGCCCAGCCTGAGCAAAGATGAGTCCCTGTCTCTACTAAAAATAGAAAAAATTAGCCGGGTGTGGTGGCACATGCCTTTAGTCCCAGCTACTTGGGGAAGCTGAGGCAGGAGGATCGCTTGAGCCCAGGAGTTTGAGGTTGCTGTGAGCTGGGCTGACGCCACTGTACTCTAGCCCCAGCAACAGAGTGAGACTCTGTCTCAAAAATAAATAAATAAATAAAATAAGAAACAGAGAGAGACACACTCAGGCAAAGAAATAAGCCCTGGAGAAATCAAGAAAAAGTACTGAGGGTGGGATAAAGAGAAGCCATGAGACATAGAATGAGGAAAAGGGAGGGAAGTAGACAAAGACCAGACTGCAGATGGCAGGGCCCAGAGTGGAAGAGATGACCCAGGGAAATGAAGAAAGACTGGGAATGACAGAGACATCAACACCTGGAGAGAAATTGTCTCACAGACGCCTAGAGACAGAGACATCCAGGAGACAGAGAAAGGAGAGGCAGAAGGACACAGCGCATGCCTACAAGGCAGAGAGAAGTTGCTGGGCAAGTGCCTGGGCCAGTATAAATACCCACAGGCCACAGAGGTCCTGTGACAATGGGAGAAGCTGCCTTCATCCTCGGGGCATTTCTCTAGGGGCAGGGGGCTCCCCTCAGCTCAAGGAAGGCGCCCCGCCATCCCATACCCCAAGCCATTGGGATTGGGCCCAAAGGAGACACCACCACCCCCCAGATGGCAGATGACCCATTGGAACAAAGCATGTAAAAGGATTGGGGCTGAATTAAGAAATGAGTGCAGGTCAGGTGTGCACAATGCAGGGCTCTCTGACATCATGGGCTCTCCACTATGTCCCAAACCACCCAGGAGTAGCACCATCAAAGCCCAGCACTGTCCTCCACACTCCGAGATTGTCCCCACATCACAGCCCAGGAGAGACCCGGTTGTAGGATAGTGCTATCCTTGTCTCGGCCAAGGGCTGCTCCCATCACAGCTTAAGCTGTCTCATCAAACCGCAGCACTGTGCCTGTCATAGCTCCACTGTCCAAGTCAAAGCCCAATACTGTCCTTGTCAAAGCCCAGGACTGGTCTCCTCACATCTAAATTGCCCCTTTGTAGCCCAGAATTCTCCTGTCACAGACCAGAGCTGTTCTATGACAGCCCAAGACTCTCCACATCACAACCTAGATTGTCCCTATCACTTCCCAGGACCACCCCCACCAGAGGCAAGTACTGTCCCAACACAGTTTAGGAATGTCCCCCCCCACACCAAAGCCCAGCACCTTCCCCCACTATAGCCCAGGATAGTCCCTGTCTCTTTCAGACCCCAGGACTGTCCCCATGTCACTGCCTAGGCCAGTCCCTGCATGACTGTCCCTGCCATGGCCCAGCACCACCCCCTTCACACCCCAGGACCATCCCCATATCAAAATCCTGGACTATACATCACAGCTCAGGACTCCGCCCCAGACTATCTCCGTTACAGAATAAAACTGTCATCAGAGCCAAGGACTCTCCAGTTATGAGTTCAGGACTATCCTATTACACCAGAACTGTGCCATGTCAGGACTCTCCACATCACAGCCCCAACCAACTGCACCTGTCAGGACTGGCTCAGGACGGTCCCGCCACAGCCCAGGAATGTCACCATCAAAGCCCAGATTGCTCCTGTCATATCCCAGTTCTATCCCTGTCAGTCACTAAGAGCCAGAGAAACATAACAACCTGCCCTGGTATTCATGAGCTGGGGTAAAAGACTCAGATAAAGTCAGGTGCAGTTAACAGGAAACAATTCTCCCAAGATTATGTGTGCTGCAGCTGTTAAGGGTTGTAATGACCCCTTTCTTGGACTGTTTCCTTCCTGAGACACGCTGTCCTCTAAAATCACAGACTCTTGGGAAAGTCTGCTGTTTGACATCTTATCAGTAAGAACAGATCCTCTCTTGCCTGGAGGATCTATGTCATTTTGAAAAAGAGAGGCTGCTTCAATTTCCAACCCAGGTGCGGACTTCAGATAAGGGGTTTTGGAAACACATCATTCGCATCTATCCTTTACCTACCTTTATTTCCAAGAAAATAAGACCTTGGGTTCAATTTCCAGTCGAGACTTGGGGTTGAACTCTGTGCCCTCGTCCCAGTCCCAGGCCTAGAGGTCCTAGGCCTCTCATTCTAGAGACCCCACAGGCTGACTGTTCCCTCCCTAATCCCCCCCCCGCCGGGGCTACATTCTCCAATCCACTACCACCCCACCCCCGCCCCAGTCCCTTGCCTCTCTCATTACAGGGTCCCCCTCTATGTTTCCCGCTTTATACCTCCCCGCCAATTACGTGCCCACCCTATCAGCGTCCACCCACTTCCCCCATTAAAGCCCGAAGCTCCTTTCCAAGGGGTCCCATCCTCCTCGGCGTCCCGCAGCGGAACCCCAGTGCCAGAGGAGAGGCGCCAAGCCGGACAGGGGGCGCTCGAGTGGTCTTCCCGGAAGTGCGCCTCCCCCCAGGGTCCCCCAGCACCCCTGCGCGGGGCTGCGAACCCACCTGCGCCAGCGCGGCTGCGGCCATGATCCGTGCGGCGGTAACTGCGCCCGCCCGGGGCGCGGCCGGGGATAAAGACGTTCCGGCCCCGCCCCGCTCACGCCCCCTCCCGCGGGATGGCGGCCTGCCTGGCACCCCAGGCCCGCCAGGCCTCCCCAGCTGTGGGGCTCCCGCGGGAAGCCGGGCCTTGCTGCAGAGCGCTTGCGCTGCAGGGGGCGGGAATCGAAACGGTCCCCACCCAAGCTCTGTTCCAGCCACACTCTTGCCCTGCAGGAGCGTGCACACAGCGGTTTTCAAAAATGCATTTTCACAGGACCGTCGCCGAGCGCTGGCGAGGATAAGCGGCCCGAGGTGAGAAAGGGGAAAGGCGAGGAGCAGGAAGCTCCGTGTATCACGATGCCTTTGTGAAAAGGAAGGGCACACTGTGAATGTCGGTGGCGCATACGTCACGGAAATGCGCAGGAAAAGGATGGGACTTTGGGAAAGGGCTTCTGAATTAGATGGTAGGTAGGGGCGAAGGGGAGCTTCACTTTGCAGCCCGGATACGCCCCTGTTTGAATATAGTTTTTCTTACCAACAAAAGGATGTATGTGGATTCTTTGAAACTCTTTAAGAAATTTTTTAAAAAAAAGAAAGAAAAAAAAAAAGAAATACACGCGGTTCACCATGGCTGCTTCCAGTCCCTTTCTCCTGAGAAGCTCGAAAATTTTCAACCCTCCAGTCATCAGTGAGCCTCAGATAACAGCCCCTAAAGTAGTGTTTCGCGGTCACTCCCCCGCACGAACGTCTCCTTCAGGGTCTCTCTGACCACAGCAATTCAAACCCGCGGCAGTGTCCCCTATACTGTGTTGCTCGGTCACTGTGTCCCCCAAACTCCTGCATCCGGGGTCCCATGACACCAAAATCCGGTCCCTTGACCACTGTGCCTCCGTAGTTCCACCCTGGCACACTCTGTCTCCAAGTTGTACCCCCACAATGCCCCCAGATCGTGTCCCCGGGTCACTGTGCCCCTCACCCCTAACAGCCACAGGCCCGAGCACCCAAATCTCGAACCCTCCCCCTCAGGGTGTGGCCCGTGTTTTCCTCTCCCCTCCCCAGTCCTCCTCCCCTGCCACTAGCCCGGACTGTAGGGGCGGTGCCCAGACTCCCGCCCACGCCGCGGCCAATCAGCGATTGCCGCACACGCCCCCGCCGCAGCCAATCCGCAGCAGCTTTGCAGCCCCGCCCTCACCTGGGGGGCGTAACCCGGATTGGGCCCTGCGCCCCACGAGGGGAATACGGGATCTGCTCCTCGTTAGGCGGGGAGCCCCCAGTGCCCTCCTCCACCAAACCAAGGGTCTCGGCCCCGATCTTCTCCCTCTGACCCAGATGTCTCGACCCCCACTTCCTCTTCCCTCTGGACTTAGTGCCAGCCACCTTCCTGCTCCACGGGAAAGGTCAAAACTCCGTTTCCCCAAGGCCAAGAATAAAGGGAAGGCCCTTTCGCTTCTCCTCCATTATCTCCTAATTAGCGCTAAATTTACTCTCCCCTGCGGGCCTTTTAATTAGCGCACAGGTGAAGCCAAACTGCTCTACCTTTCCAGGAGCCCCTGGCGACAGGCGACAGGCACTAGCAACATCAGGTACCTGCTGGCCTGTAGGGGAACTGTAGAGTCTCAGGGAGGCAATGTCGCAGAAGGACTCCTACAAAGGGCGGGAAATAAATACAACGATGCTCTCCTTCGGGCTGCAAATTGCTTTTACAGGAAACTAGAGGGTGATCTGGCACATTCCTAAGTGGGCTTAAAGTCTAAGGGGTTAGGGGCTGCACCTGGGAGGCAGATGGTGCAGGTTGGAGTTTGGGGGCCGGGGAAAGTCCTATGCAGGGAGGCCCAGGTGGAAATGTGAGAAATCAGGAAAGAGTAGTAGGGATGTCCACGGGGGTGCCCGGATCGGCCTTGCGCCCGTAGCCCAGCTCTGCACCCCCCGTCAAAAACAGGTCGATGCCTGTGCAGAAGGTAGCTCCAGAGGCCAGGAACACTGCCGCAGCCCCCACCTCAGCGGGCTGGCCCATGCGGCCCAGGGGCTGGGGAGAGAAGGGGGAAGTGGGGGTGAAGAGGAGCCCCACTTGATGGCCAAACACACCCCCAAGCCACCTCCTCCCCCTGCCTATGGCCCCCGCTCCTACCTGGGCCAAGGTGCCCTCTAGGACTGCGGCCCTGGGGTCAGGTGTTGAGGCTGCCACCTCCTCCCATAGTGGGGTCCAGATGTTTCCTGGGGAGATACTGTGGGAAGGGAGAGGGGATCAGAGAAGTCTGTCTCAAATGCTGCCTCTTGGGCTCACTCCCAGACTTCCCGGTTCCCCCAGGAGGCTCTCAGTCGAATTGGAGCTGCTCACCAGTTGACTCGGACACCGTATCGACTCTCATCCAGGGCCAAGGCCTTGGTCATGGCTGTTACTGCCCCCTGCAGAAAACAGGGCCCAGAGAAAGTTCAAGTGCCCCTCCTGTCCTCTCCCTCCAGCAGGCGGCATCGAGCAGCAGCATCAGAATGGATAAGTCACACTCTCCTTGGATGCACCATATTCTGTTTCTCGGGACAAACCTGGGGGGTGGCAATTTGTCATGGGTTCTTATGCCTTGGGGCTGAATGTGGGAGTTGGATGTGCCATTCTCCCAGCCAAGGTCTTGCTGGGTCCCGCTCTTAAAGTGTCTGGTCTCAAAGCCAAGGCCCATGGGAGCAAGGAAGGGAGGGAAGGAAGGGGCAGGGGCTGGTGTACCTTGGTGGCCACATAGAGAACTGACTGGCACTGGCCAATCGCCGCTACCAGGCTGGAGATGTTGATGATGTTCCCCTTGCTCTTCCGCAGGTGGGGAAGGGCAAGCTAGGGAGACAAGAGGAAGAATAAGCCACCCAAGCCCTGGATCTCCCCAGGCCACTAAAACACAGCCCCAGGCATCCTGACGTCTGGGACAGTGGCCGTCTCCCTGGCATGTTCCTAATTCAACTCGGTGGCCCATAGGGACAGCATCTAGTACCTTCTCTGGTTTGCTCTAGGGTCTCTGGGTCGTTTTTTTGTTTGTTTGTTTTGTTTTGTTTTTTTTTTTTTGGAGACAGAGCCTTACTCAGTCACCTGGGCTAGAGTGCAGTGGTATCAGCCTAGCTCATGGCAACCTCAGACCCCTGGGCTCAAGCGATCCTCCTGCCTCAGCCTCCAGAGTAGCTGGGACTACAGGTGTGTGCCACCACATCCAGATAATTTTTCTATTTTTTGTAGGAATCTTGGTCTTGCTCAGGCTAGTCTTGAACACCTGGCCTCAAGCGATCCTCCCGCCTCAGCCTCCCAGAGGGCTAGGATTACAGGCGTGAGCCGCAGCCATGGCACCTGGCCTCAAATATCTTTTGAAGGAATGAATGGATGTATTGAGGACCTGGTACATGTCAGGTCCTTTTCTCAGCTCTTCACATGGATTAACTCATTTAATCCTCCTCACAACCCTACGAAGAGGTACAGAGTAGCCCCATTTTACAAGTGAGGAGACTGTCACGGCACAGAGGGTCATGTGACACTTGACAGAGCCCATATTTGCTGCCCGCAGTCTGAGGCCAAAACCCATAAACGGGTAGGAATTTCTGACAACTCTAATATGATTAGAGCACGAGCGACGTGACTATGTGGGCATTGGCGGGGGTGGGGAGGCCTCTGGCTGTAGCCTCAGGGAACCACCCGCACCCCCTCAGCCTCTGCCCCAGTCCCATCAGCCTGGAAACCCTCCCTCCCTCAGCAGCGCCCCCGCCTGCCCTGCACCCAGTCCCTGCACCCGCCCTGCTGTTTAACTTCCCTCCCCACGTGCTGCCCATGGCAGTCTCAGACGTGGCTCCTGCCACCCTCACCCGCGGCAGGCACACAGCCGCAGCTCAATAAGTATTTGTCCCACACTCCCCAATCCCCTTCCCAGCCCTTGCGCACACTGCACATTCCTTGGCCAGCGTCCCTCCCCACCCCGCAAGGTCACTGAGCACCTGCACTGGCTGCGTCAAGGACCTGCAGGGCTTGTACTGGGCTGACTCCCCTCTCCCGCCCTCCCTTGCGAACGCCGCCTCCCAGCTGGGATCCGGCTGTCCTGGATGTCCTCCAGCCTCACTCTGGCCTGACCCCATGTTCCCTAAATTTCAGGGTTCCTGAGCCTGCTCCTCACTCTGCAAGCTCTGCTGCGGGAGCCCCCAATTTTGCTGGTTTCCCACCAGCATCCCCTAAATCTCTCTGGGACCCACCCTCTGGAGCTCCTGATGCCCCAGACATCTGAATATCTCCATCTCAATGTGTTGAATGAAGAGCTCACCCCACTGGGACCCTAAAGCCTAGCCCGCCCCCCACCCCCATTCCCAGCCTCCCACATGGTGCTCGCTCCCACCCAGGGTCTCAAGCTAGGGACCTGGGAGTCTTCCGGAGCCTCAGCCATCCCAGCATCAAGCCCTGGAAGCTGTAGTTGCTAAGGGTCTCTTGAATCTATGCAGTTCTCTCTGCCTCCTTCAACAAGCATTTACTGAGCACCTACTATGTGCCAGGTGCAGTGGTAAATGCCAGGGATGCCTCAGAAAACAAGACAGAGGTTCCTGCCCGCATGGAGGCAGCAACAAACAGGTAAGTGTCCTGTCGCGGGAGCTGGAGTGCGACGAGGGATGTGAAACAAGCACAGAGGATGAGGGCCTGGGAGTCTTGCGGGGTACAATTCCAACTAGCATGTTCAGGAAGGCCTTGGGAAGGTGACATTTGAGCAAAGACCTGGGGAGTGGGGAGTAAGGGTGTGAGCTCTGGGGAAATCTGGGGAAAGGACTCGCCAGGCAGAGGAACGGTGAGTGCAAAGGCCCCGAGGTAGGAGTGAGCCTGCTGTGTTTGGCCGCGAGGCCAGTGCGGTGGGAGATGAGGTCAGAGAAGGACAGGGGCCTTGAAGGCCGCCACTTCACCCATGGACAATTGCAATCACCTCTTAATAATGGTTTTCCTGCACTCGCATTTGGCCTTCTGATTTGTCCCTCGTATATACAGGAGCCAGAGTGATCTGTTAATATTAATGAGATCACATCATGTCCTTGCTCAAACACCTTCCATGGCTCCCTATTGCTCTTAAGATAAAGACCAGATGCCTCAGCAGGGCCCTCAGGACCCTGTAGGATCTGTACCCCAGCCCAGCTTCTCTCTGCACTACCCCTTTCTCTCACTCTGCCCAGCCCCATGCCTCCCCTCGGGACTGCAGCTGGAAGCCTGGCCCAGCTCCCAGAAGGGCTGCCTCTGGGTCACACTCTCCAGAGCGACACCCATCCCCTTCCTAATGCAAAGCACTCACTCTTAGGAACCCATCTGTCTATGCAGCAACACCTGGCCTGGCACCACGCTGTAGCCCCAGCACCCAGAACATTACCAGGCTCAGTTAGTGTTTGATGAATGGATAGTTCTCTAAGAACCGATCCAGCTTGGAGAGCCTACAACTGACACACCTAGAGCCCCACTCCTGCTCCAACACCTTCTGTGGATCCCTGCTGCCCACAAGATACCATTTCCTTGACTATATAAACACCCCTAATCCCTCCCTGTTTTCTCTAGCCTAGGGAGTCACAAACTTTGGC